GCCCCGCCGCTGACCCCGCCCCCTGACCAAGAGGCTGCAGCGAGGTCCACGCTACAGACGTTTTCCGGTTTCACAACATTCCGCCGCCCCTGCACCCAGTCTACCGTGTTCCCACGGGCCTCGCTAGCTGTTGCAGCAAGTCCCACTGATAAATCGCTTGCCCCTGCCTTCACCCGCCTGCAACAGTGCAAAACCCGGAACACAGACGTCATCTGCTACAGGACAGGGGCTTTCCCGAGCGCATTACCTGGTTTCCGGGCACACAATACTACATGTGCGCATGCGCACTCACTAAGGCCGGGCCTAGTGCGCCGGGATCCTGCTCTACTACGCATGCGTCAGGCCGAACCGGAAATGCCTCTGTTCCAGCCCTTCGGGTCGTGGCCTGGCTTTTAGGCCTGTGGGGCTGCTGAGTTGAGATTTCTTAGGTCCTTGGTCCTAGCAGAACAGGATATCAAACCACAGACCTTACCTGGCACTTACTTCCCCCACAGATACACTCTCCCTTGTCCACCCAAAAGATGAAGTCCAAACCTCAGTCAGCATTCTTGATCTTTCACAGCCTGGCCCCAGTGAACCTGTCCACACCGTTCTTCCCTGCTCACCTACAAATGCTGGCTGGCCCCTCTTTGACATCCACCGCCCTGTTTATCTACGAGCTGAAGCTCCACAGCCAATAGGCCCTGCAGGCTTTCACTACCCTGAGAACCCCACCCCGCTTAGCGGTCTACTTTCATCCACTGGACAGCGACTAGGGTTTCCAAGGGCGTCCTCAGACTGCGAGCTCCCCAAGACTAAATATTCATCCAAGTCTGTATCACCAAGGCCCGTCTGACGTGACCAGCAAGGAGTGCGATTAAAGGAGGCAAATCTGTTAGCCTTGGCAACAAATTTATTAGTTCAGAGTAAGAGCAAGAGTCCAACTGCTTTGATTCTTCAGTAAAAATTGAGCCTGTTGACTGGAGAGCTGCCAGCCTGCCCTCCCCCCACTCTCCAAACAACTCGCCCTTCTATTAAGGCACTTGAAAAAGGGGAACAGAAAAGTCTCAGACCTAACCTCCCTGGATATGGAGAGGAGAGGGCCAGAGCTGTCCCACCAGTCTCCTCAGCCACAGCTGAGCAAAGCAAGAGCCGGCAGGGCAGGAAGTCCAGCCTCTCAAATGCTGGTGTTAGGCACAAGGGAAATGCCAGCACCACCGAAGAGCTGGTCACAGGGGCATCATTTTGGCTCAAGTGTAAATGAACCCATGATTTGAGGAAGACACTTGATAATAAGGCTTTGTGGCCTCCAAGGCCATAGCTCCAGCCTGTCCCTCTCTCTGGAAGGTACTAGAAGCTGGAGGGTGGGGTGGAGCCTCCAGAATTCCCTACAGAGGAGCTGAACATCAGGACAAGGGAAGGGTCTGAGTCCTCCCAACTCCATTTCCAGAGAAGTTAATGCTTCTGCTTAAGCACCTCCGAATTGAGAGATAGATATGGCCAATGAAAGAATAAAATGCAACCCCCCACCACCACAAAGACATCATCACCCAAAGAAGTTGGGGGCAGTTGGAGCACCCCTCCCCCCAGAATCCATAAGTGCTTGCTTTGGGAGGGCTTCAATCTCCTGCAACCCAGTGCTCTGGGCAAGGCAGGAGTCACCCACTTAGGAGCTGATTTGACTCAGTAGGGCTGAGAAGTCCATGTCTGCGATGGAGGAAAAGTCTTCATCCCCTGTGAGGAGGCCGTTGGCGAGGCCAGCGGCCCCCAGGGGAGCAGGAGCTGGGTCAGGAGGATTCTGGGACCCTGTCACCAGGCGTGTTATAGCCTCAGGGTACTCCATCAGCATGGGCTCCGCTGTGTGGGGAGCCATAGAGACACCCTGGTTCAGCATCTGCTGAAACTCAGAGTTGTCGACGGAGGCCAGGTCCGTGAACACGGCTGGGTCAGTATTATTGCCCAGCAGGGCCCCCAGGTCTTCATCAGCATCAAACTGCAGATGTAGGAGGGCCTCCGTCAGTGTTCCTTCCCCTGCCTGGGTGGGCTTGGGGGCAGGCGGGGCCACAGCCTGAGCAAGGCTGGAGGCTGAGGCTAGGACTGGGACAGGGGCTGGGGTTGGGGCCTGAACCAGAGCTGGTGTCATGGCTGAGACAAGGGCTGGTGCCAAGGCTGAGGGTTGGTTTGGGATCTGCCCAGAAGAAAAGACCATGGGGGAAAACTCCTCAAAGTTGATGGTGCTGAGGGATGGCGTAAAGGGATAGGGCTGGGGAGCTGGAAGAGAGACAGAGAGACAAGGGTCAGAGAAAGCCTGAAACCCACCCCGTCCTCTATATCCCAGCCCATCAGTATGCACAGGACCAACCCCTCCCTGTGGAGTCCCTGCCAGCACCCGTTACCCAGTCTGACCAGGCTGGGGGTCCAGGTCCAGCCCCACCTCCGTGGAGCCCTATCCACTCCAGCCCAGAAAGCTCTCCCAGCCTTTTAGAGGAAGGGATGCTTTCAGAGGTCGGCTGGTAAAATGTCATCTCAGAGCTGAAAAGCCAAGTCCCAGGAGGGCATAGGCCCAAGGAGTATCCAGTCAGTGTAGCCTGCAGCAGGCACTACATCACTCTTTTCTGAGCCACACACCAGCACATACATTTTGCTACTTTAGACGTGTTTCTTTGTTTCCCTAATTCAACTGAGAGCTGAAGGCAGAGACGGTGTGCTTTTTAACTCTGGATCCCTAGGTATCCAATATGGAGTTTCTAACTGGCACAGTGGTTCTCAGACCTCACTGTGCGTTAGTGTCCCCAGGAAGTAGCTGGTTCCTGACCACACTTCCAAAGCTTGATTCCAGATGTGTAATGGGCCCGGGAATCTGCATCATTACCACTCCCAGGTGGCTCTGGCAGAGATAATTAGGCTGCACGCCCTGAGAAACATGAGCCCAACACACAGCAGTCGTCAGACACCTGCGGATGAGGCTGACCGCTCTGTTCTCTCCCAGCGGGTGTGTGAGCCACAGGCTGAACAGACTTGAGCCTATAATTCCAGTGGGAC